GGTTTTCTGGAGCATCCTTTGTTCCTGAGAGCTGTTTCTACAGTATTATGGAGGCACAGAGGTTAGTTAAACCACATATTTGAGCATTATGAAAATGAATGTCAAAAAGGTAGTTTTTAAGATGTTTACATTGTATGAAACTTACACAGTAGCACAGTAATTTGTATGGCAAATGTATAACATGTGTATACTGTGTACCCACACATAGGATAGACTAGAGATATCTATTGCACATTTAATATGTCATTACATCTATAATTGATGTTTAGTTTTACTTAAAGTTGAAAGAAGTATAGTCAAGTAAAATGTATGATGCAGAATAAGACATTCTATGATGAAAAGGGATGAGGAATGTGAGCATACTTGTGTGAATGACAGGTCAAGGTCATGACTTTGTTATTGTATTCCTTGACTATGATAAAGTCATTCAAGCTCGTTAAATATGGTCACATTTTTAGTTGAAACCGTGTTAAATCTGGTTTAGACATGCTAGAGATGATATAAGTTTAATTGTGTGTTAGCTGTGACATTCTACATAAAGTTCAGATAGATTTGTCAAGACAGTGTCTGACTTATATAAGATTTACAAGCAAACATGAAAAGGAGTTATAATTCAGATAATGTCTTTGATTTAGTAGAATGCTATATCTGCTTTAATATTGTGGAACTTATATTCATGAACACATACTTATTATGCATTCCTGTTATGCTTTATCATGTACAGTTTTCACGGAATGAAGGGAAGAAGAACGGAATAAAGCAGTGAAAGGAGTAAAGATAAAGATTCGTTCGTCAAAGACAGAGTTGCATTTCCCTTTGATGGTTATGACTCTAAAATAAACTGACATTCCCGTAAAAACCTGAGTCGTTGTAATTATTCAGCGTTTCGCCTCACAGACAGTCACAATAAACATATACATATGAATAATAGTGGCGGGGTCATGAAAAGCACTAAACTGGTTTATTGAAAATTACCCGTTTACAAGTATTTACATAATGTACAATAATTTAAAGCAGTGATATTTTGTCTTTATTCCATTATTATTCCATTGTTAGTTTCATTATTCATTCTTTACTATGTGCTTACTTTGAAAAAGGGAAACCAGGATAGCCCTATTGAAGTTTATGTTATTAGAATATTTGCATTGTCCCAATAATATAATGTACAAGTTAAATGTATATTTTATTGAACAAAAATTAAGTAGTGATATAGAGGTCACATGATAAGGTTATTAAACCTAGCGGGGTGTGTTTGTTTATCCATATTTGTGAATGTGTTGCTCTATATGAGTTTAATATTGACTGCTACGTATTTGCTCAAGTATTTGGCATAGGTATTTACCTGTGTTAAAGTTGAGAGTTTCAGCTACATTGTACTGTGGCAACAATTTTTTAAAAGGCAAATGTATTCGTTTTATATTTGATAAAATGACATGTTTTCGGGAATGCATGATCGCCATGAGAATCAGCATTATTAAGTGATATGTAATGTGTCAGTTACTGATTACTACTAATAAACATACCTTTTGCTTGTCCCTCTCACAGGATCCGTCTGTCTGTCATTGATCTCGAGATCTCGACCACCTCACAAAAAGAAGGGTGACTTTTGTGAAAGCACACAATTATTTTTGCGCTTTCCCATTTTTTAAAATGGATTTCCCTTGTGAAAAACTGTTCTTGAAATGCCTCCCCAATAGTCCACACATGCCTAAAATGTATTCAAATTGCTCTCCTGATTTTTGATGCCGCATGCAAAGTATTGTTTACTCGTACTTGCGTGCAGAGCTTCTCATTGTCAGTGGTTAGAAAAAGATTAAGTCAATAAATTGTCATTTCATGTTTTCATTACCTAACAATACCTACTTGATCAACCATTCTACATAACTTGAGGACAATATCTTAAACTATGCAATCACGTGACCCGTTTCTAACCTGTAATTCTTCCATTGAGGTGTCCATGGTTGTTGATGCTTCAGTTGATACTGGGGTTAAACAGAAAATACTTACCTTTTTTATTTAATTATTCATTTATTTACTCTTTTACATATTGAATTATTCATCAAGTTTTTCATATATTTATTTTGTATACCATTTAATCCCTTCAGATAATTATACATTTAATGCAGGGCTCATTGAGAAGTGATCTGCGATGATGTTCTGTTAAAAACCTCTATACCTATTTCATCAAAGAAAACAATAATTACACTGCATTATTACATAGTAACACAAAATAGAGCATAATAGAAAGATATAAAAAAAAACGATATGTTCAGTTCAGTTCAGTTTATTAAATTCCATCTTTAAAAACATTTTTACAAGTTAAAAACATGCAATTTCATGTAAAATATAATACATAAATTGGGACAACATATACATGTGAAATTAATTAATACAAAACAGAATAAGGCACAGCTGTAAAAAAAAGAAAGGAAAATAAGAAGAAAAGGTTTTGACTTGACAGCTTCCTATCTAAATAGATATAATAAATATAGTAAGAAAACAAGTAGCAATTAAAGTTTTGGATAGTTTCATTCAGAAATTGCATAACACTGAACCGGCAAAAACCAAGTACACGAAATGCATTATGATATGATGCAAAAGTCAGAAGATGTCAAAGGCTAAATGTGAGGGGGAAAAGAAGAAAGGAGAGAGAGAGAGAGAGAGAGAGAGAGAGAGAGAGAGAGAAAGGGCGATAACAAGCTGGCTAAATACATTCAGTGTGAGTCATGCGCAATCAAGAAACTTTTGAGATAAGTTTAAAACTGTTGTAAGATGAGATGGAATTTATATTAGTTGGAAGCAAGCTCCAAATTTCAGGTGCATGATGTCTGCAAGAATATGATGCAAAATTTGTATTAACACACCATCGATGATATTTCTTCTTATTTCTAGTATTATAGTTATGTATTGTACTGTTTGTTATTAACATATTGGATACGTTTTTAGGAAGCAGAGATATCATTCCTAAATAAAAATATTGCACACAAATATTAATTTAACTGGTAAACATTTAATATGTTAAGTTGTTTAAAAATTGGTCTTGAATGAGACTGCAACCCTCTTTTTTTTTTAGAATATATAAACAATGCAGTATGGTTGGGTAATTATTTGCCCAAACAATGTTGCAATAACTAAGAAACGGAAATATAAGTGTATTGTATAACATAAGGAGAACAGATTGAGGCACAGTATGGCGGAGTTTGCTGATGACGCCAGTATTCCTAGACATTATCTTATTAATAAGGGATATATGTGTTTTCCAGGATAAGTTTTCGTCAATAAAAATACCCAAGAACTTGGTATGAGCAACACGATTAAGAATATTATCATCCATTTTGATTTGATATGAATTGAGGAGCTCTATAGAATCGGTTTATATTTGGAATCAAAATATATAAAATTTGACTTTCTAGCATTCAAGATTAATCTATTGCATTTGAACCAATTCGATACTTTACGCATATCAATATTAAAGTGCTATATAAAAAAAAACAATATCATTTCAAGTGTAGAGAATATTGGTTTCATCAGCAAAAAGAATGAATTTCAATTCATCTGAACAATATGGGAGGTCATTAATATAAATTAAAAACAGTAGGGGCCCTAGGATTGACCCCTGGGGTACAACACATGAGACTTCCGAATAATCAGAAAAAACACCATAATATGATACACATTGAGTTCTATTATGTAAATAACTTTTGAACAAGATGAGTGGTAAACCTCTTATCCTATAACAGGCAAGTTTAGATAATATAGAAAAATCAATTGTATCAAATGCCTTGCTTAAATCTAAGAAGACACCAATAGCATGTAATTTGTTTATTAAATAATCTTGAAGATAAAAAAAAAGCCAATATCGACACATGCTTTACAAAACCGTACTTACTTTCATCCAACATAGAATTTGTGCATAAATAACTATAATTTGTACGATTATAGACGAGCCTTTCTAGGATTGTTGAAAAGTAAGGAAGTATAGATATATAGGCCTATAATTATCAACCTTATGAATATATGAATTTATGAACAGATACAACTTTTGCAATTTTTAATCTAGAGGGAACGACTCCACTAGAAATCGATAAGTTGAAATATAGTGTATTACATTCTTTATGACATCAGGATTGAATTCATCAAGACCACAACTGTTTGTACAATTTAATTTATTCACTACATCAATAATTTAATTTTCAGATACAGCTTTAAAATATACAGAATTGGAATTTTGCTTTGGCCAAAATTTTGCAAAGTTGTCAGTATTGCTTAAGAATAAGGATCTTTTTCAAAGACAGACCAACATTTACAACAAAAAAAGTTAAAATGACTGGCAATATCTTTAGAATTAGATAGTTGTTTCCCATTTACATTCGTGAAATTAGGTAAAGCATTGTGAAATTTACCCAGGATACCATTGATTAATTACCATGTTTTTATCTTCATATTTCCCTTTATTGCATAAAATTTCATCTTGTAGTAGTTTTTGTGGGCAAGTTTTAATAACGTATTAGTGTTATTTCGTATTTGAACGTGTTTCCTCTTGTTATTTTCTGTACGTGAATGACAATACCTTCCATTTATTTTATTTTGAAACCTTATCTTTTTATACAAGTCAAATGTAATCCATGGTTTTCTAATCTTTTTACGAACAGATTTAAAGATTTTCTTTACAATGCTCTGTTATACAGTATTGATAATGTTGCCGAGAACTTTACAAAAGCTGCGACTACATCGCTAAATTTGACGGTATAGATCATGACTAACAGGAGCGAGAAAAGGATTTAAAGCGCAAGAGAGAAGGAAAGAAGGGGAGAGATGAGAGCAAAGAGAGAGAAAGAGTGAGTGGAAAGAAAGAGAGAGAGAGAGAGAGAAAAAAAAAAGAGAGATAAAGAGAAGGGATGAAAGAAAAGACAATTTATTCGTTATATACAAGGAGAGTGGTATCTCAATTGACATGCCTTTCACTCATGTAATTTCAAATGTTACGGCTTTTTTTTTTCCGTCGTTGGTGTGATTCTGCAGTCATCAATATGAGATTCTTACAAGTTCATACATCCGCTGAGGGCGTTCTTGGTCTGGTTCCACCTTTGGTAGGGAGGTAGAAGAAGGATTGAGAGAGAGAGAGAGAGAGAGAGAGAGAGAGAGAGAGATCGAAAGAGAGCTAGATTTTATTTGTCAAGACAGTGCACGTAAAAAATAAAAAGTATACTAACATTCAATCTTACAAAAACCAAGTGAAATCGATACTCCAACACTATTACATTTGATAATAGTTATATTCTTTGTGAATTGAATAGGCTGCTCATCAAAGTGTGATTATGGATGGCTGAGCGCTAACAACGTATAATAAATATAAAACTAAAATGGTCGCAACTACATTAGAAACATCAACTTTAGAGCAATTCAGCACCCCATTGTTAATATGCCATAGAAATCACGATCGGATTATGTAAAACGTCATTGTAATGTTCGCATGTTTCAAACGGTGATAGAGGGAGCTATTGAACTTCCCTTAAGCTAATATTTCGAAAGTGGTCGCAATCATGCGTGTTAAATCGCCTTTACCTAAGTTGGAATGAACGATGTTCAGGAGTTGAATAATAAGATGTTTTCTGATTCATGTCGATTTTGCCTCTGCTTAAGTTTTGAAGAAATACAGTATGTGTGAGTACTTGCTATTCATATAAAAACCATTTAACGAAAGTTTTGATTGACTTTTATTTATTTTTTCTTCAAAACTTAGGCAGAGGCAAAATCGACATGAATCAGGAAAAACAATACTGTTTAGCTGTCTTTGCCAAGATTCAATCAATTAAGTTGTCAAATCAAATCGTTAGTTTAAATATTTCGCTCACCTCTTTTTTCTTTAGTCCTCTAATCCAAAGGACGATAAAGCGCAGAAGGAGAGCCAGCATGAGAAATGTGAAATAAAAAATCAAGGGCGTCGAAAGTCCAAAAGTTACGGTTTCTGCCTCGTTCATATCCGCTAAAACACGCAACAGACCTGTATCTTCATTATACAGAAGCACGATAATGTACATGACTCAACTGCGATGTAGCTTTACTCATCATGACAAATATCATCTTATTCTTAACAGCTTTAGATTTGAATAAAATACTTTAGAAAGACATGATAATTTAATCAATAATCAGTTATAAATCAATTCCTATTTAAATTTCAAATTCGCAACATATTGTTCAGAAATACACTACGTTTCGGTACATAGCTATTAAAATGGCGGGAAACGCCAATTCAGATATACTATCTACGCATGTGCAGATTAAAGGCCGGGTATACAAAACTGTAAAGCGATTCGAATCGAAGGCTGGAAAAGGATTCTTGAAAATGAGGCTATCATCAACGAGGATGTCGTCTATGCTACACAAGCGGAAGTATTTTCTTCATGAGGTCAAACAACAGGTACTCACGAAAAACCTCAACCACTTGGGCAGAGAATACTCTAAAATGAACAAAGTCTTTAACTGTACAAGCAGACGCGGATCCAGGGGGGGGGGGGCCGAGCGGGCCTTGGCCCCCCCCCCCCGCAAAAAAAAAAAAAAAAAAAAAGAGAGAAGAAGGAAAAGAAGGGAGAAAGGGAAAAAGGAGAAAAAGGGAAAGAAAGAAGAGGAAGAAGAAAAGTAAAGGGGGAAGAAGGAGATCGGGGGGGCCGAAAGGGCCTTGCCTCCCAGGCTGTTAACCCCCCCCCCCCCCCCCCCCCCTCCATCAAAACAAAATAAGAGAGAAGGAAGGAAAGGGAAAGAAAAAAAAGGAAAAGAGGAGATACTGGCGTACTGATAGAGGGGGGGGGGGGCTTGGGGGAAATCAAATTCAAACGTGGTTTATTTCTGATTCCACAACGGTGTATTACAAATAATGCTGAAATGACATAATTTCCGAAATGTTTCCTCACTTTTTAGTAAATTATACGTTTGTATGTGTTTGTTGGAAAATAAAAAAATTCCTAAATTTACAACCAGGCAAAAAATATGATTCTTGAGATTCCTACATGTCAGGGCCCGAGGTACGGCGGGGATCGAGAGCCTCGAGGCATTAAAATATGCTCATCTGACCGTGATTAAATGCCTAAAACCCCTAAGCTTCCGGGGGCTTTGCCCCCTGGATTCCATCTAGGGCCCTACGGCGGGCCCTTAGATGATCATCTGACGGTAATTTAATGCCTAAAACCCCTGATTTTTTGGGGCTCCGCCCCCTGAATCCCACGCCAAATAGTGACTTGCCAGTGTCACAAAATAATAAGGCATACACAAAAATATGCTCATCTGACCTTAATTAAACGCCTAAAACCCCTGAGCTTCCGGGGCCGGCTCCGCCGCCTCGACCCCACCTCTTTGAAATTCAGACAAGGATTAAAGAGTATAGAGAACGGTACAACGCATCGTTTTCTTTCTCTAATAATAAAACGTCAAAGCCTCGCGCAGGAGGGGAGGAGGGGGGGGGGGGGGGACTGAATTGAGACGAGGATTCAGAGGCGAGAACGGTAATACCAATCGTTAATTATTTGATGAAACGTAAAAGCTTATGCGTTTTGCGCGGGATGGAGGGGGAACTAAATTCCGATGAGGATTATTTTCGAGAACGGTACAATGAATCTTCTTCTTCTCTAATGATTAAATGAAACGTAAAAGCTTCCGCGCTTCACACGGGAGGGGGGGGGGAACTGAATTCAGACGAGGATTAAGAGTCAAGAACTGTACAACAAATCGTCTTCTTTCTCTAATGATTTAATGAAACGTAGAAGCTTCCGCGCTTCGCGCAGGAGGGGGAGGGGGAGGAACTGAATTTAGACAAGGATTAAAAGTCGAGAACGGTACAACGAATCGTCTTCTTTCTTTAATAGTTTAATAAAACGTCAAAGCTTCCGCGCTTCGCGCAGGAGGGGGAGGGGGAGGAACTGAATTTAGACAAGGATTAAGAGTCGAGAACTGTACAATGAATCGTCTTCTTCTCTAATGATTAAATGAAACGTAAAAGCTTCCGCGCTTCGCACGGGAGGGGGGGGGGGAACTGAATTCAGACGAGGATTTAGAGTCGAGAACTGTACAACAAATCGTCTTCTTTCTCTAATGATTTAATGAAACGTAGAAGCTTCCGCGCTTCGCGCAGGAGGGGGAGGGGGAGGAACTGAATTTAGACAAGGATTAAGAGTCGAGAACTGTACAACGAATCGTCTTCTTCTCTAATGATTAAATGAAGATTAAAAGCTTCCGCGCTTCGGGCGGGAGGGGGGGGGGGGGGAACTGAAATCAGACGAGGATAAAGGGTCGAGAACGGTACAACGAATCGTCTTCTTTCTCTAATGATTTAATGAAACGTAGAAGCTTCCGCGCTTCGCGCAGGAGGGGGAGGGGGAGGAACTGAATTTAGACAAGGATTAAGAGTCGAGAACTGTACAACGAATCGTCTTCTTCTCTAATGATTAAATGAAGATTAAAAGCTTCCGCGCTTCGCACGGGAGGGGGGGGGGGAACTGAATTCAGACGAGGATTTAGAGTCGAGAACTGTACAACAAATCGTCTTCTTTCTCTAATGATTTAATGAAACGTAGAAGCTTCCGCGCTTCGCGCAGGAGGGGGAGGGGGGAGGAACTGAATTTAGACAAGGATTAAGAGTCGAGAACTGTACAACGAATCGTCTTCTTCTCTAATGATTAAATGAAGATTAAAAGCTTCCGCGCTTCGGGCGGGAGGGGGGGGGGAACTTAAATCAGACGAGGATAAAGGGTCGAGAACGGTACAACGAATCGTCTTCTTTCTCTAATGATTTAATGAAACGTAGAAGCTTCCGCGCTTCGCGCAGGAGGGGGAGGGGGAGGAACTGAATTTAGACAAGGATTAAGAGTCGAGAACTGTACAACGGATCGTCTTCTTCTCTAATGATTAAATGAAGAATAAAAGCTTCCGCGCTTCGCGCGGGAGGGGGGGGGGGGAACTGAAATCAGACGAGGATAAAGGGTCGAGAACGGTACAACGAATCGTCTTTTTTTTTAATAGTTTAATAAAACGTCAAAGCTTCCGCGCTTCGTGCAGGAGGGGAAGGGGGGGGGGGCTGAATTTAGACAAGGATTAGGAGTCGAGAAAAGTACAACGAATCGTCTTCTTTATCTAATGATTTAATGAAACGTAAAAGCTTCCGCGCTTCGCACGGGAAGGGGGGAACTAAATTCAAACGAGAATTATTTTCGAGAACGGTACAACGAATCGTCTTCTTTCTTTAATAATTTAATAAAACGTCAAAGCTTCCGCGCTTCGCGCAGGAGGGGGAGGGGGGGGCTGAATTTAGACAAGGATTAAGAGTCGAGAACTGTACAACGAATCGTCTTCTTTCTCTAATAATTTAATAAATCGTAAAATTTTCCGCGCTTTGCGCGGGAGGAGAAAAACTAAATTCAGACGAGAATTATTTTCGAGAACGGTACAACGAATCGTCTTCTTTCTCTAATAATATAATGAAACGTCAAGCCTGGGAGGGGGAAACTCGCCCCCCCCCCGCATTACGTCACTGTTGGTCACCATAACGTTCCAATATTTGGCTCGCATAATTTCAAATTTGGGCCCCCCCCCCCCCCCCTAAGAAATCCTGGATCCGCGCCTGTGTACAAGTTCTATCTTCTAAGTGGTCTTCTAAGTAACGCTCGGCTGGAATGCTCCACAGGGAGTGGAGATTGTGCACACATGCAGTGTGTGCGGGCAAGCACTGAATCCTATGACCGGGTAAATAGTATATTTGTAAATCGCTTAGAGACATTTGTATTAAGCGCTATATAAAAATTAAATATTATTATTACACAAAGGATATTAAGGCAGGATATTCAGTCATTTTTTAAAAAAACAGTTGATTAACGCTAAGGCAAAATGTGGCATTTCCCTTTTTAGTCAGGTCAAGATATGAAAAAAAAGGGGTCAACCTAGAACTAATTGCAACAGAAACGATTCCACTTGCATATAATCTGGAATAGCCATGAAAACAACATACTCAAAGTTGACAAAAATTGAAGTGGTGGATCAGTGCCTAATTTGCATAAATTCAAAATGGCCGCCATGTCAGACCCTGGTAGACACACAAAACCTAGTTTAGCCTATATCTCTAGATCTTAAACACATAGAACGCTAAACGAAGTGTCTTTACACATGTTTGGGGGTCAATAAACATGATTATAGCATTATCAGCAGCTAAGAACTACTCCTTGACTCTTAATTTGCATAAATTTGCATAAAATTAACCCTTTTTAAAGTCAAAATGGCTGCCATGTTTCATGTTTAAAACTATTTCTCATCTGATACTTACAGAAAGTTGATTTAAGTGCCCTTATCCATGTTTAGGGGGTCAAGGAAAAATAATTATGGCTTTATCGGCAGCTTAGAACTATTCCTTGACTCCTAATATGCATAAATTTGCATATAATTAACCCCTTTTAAATTCTGAATGGCTGCCATTTGTTCATGTTTAAAACTATATCTCTAGATCTTATACACATAGAAAGCTAAACGAAGAGTCTTTACCAATGTTTAGGGGGTCAAGGAACATGATAATAGCATTATAATCAGCTTACAATTACTCCTTGACTCCTAATTTGCATAAATTTGCATATAATTAACCCTTTTTAAAGTCAAAATGGCTGCCATGTTGCATGTTTAAAAGTATTTCTCATCTGATACTTAAAGAAAGTTGATTTTAGTGCCCTTTTACAAGTTTAGGGGGTCAAGGAACATAATTATAGCATTATCAGCAGCTTAGAATTACTCCTTGACTCCTTATTTGCATAAATTTGCATATAATTAACCCCTTTTGAATTCTAAATGGCTGTTTTTCATGTTTAAAACTATATCTCTAGATCTGAGACACATAGAAAGCTAAACGAAGTGTCTTTACTGATGTTTTTGGGGTCAAGGAACATAATTATATCATTATCAGCAGCTTAGAACTACTCCTTGACTCCTAATTTGCATAAATTTGCATATAATTAACCCTTTTTTAAAGTCAAATTGGCTGCATACGTTGCATGTTTAAAACTATTTCTCATCTGATACTTATAGAAAGTTGATTTAAGTGCCCTTATTCATGTTTAGGGGTCAATGA